TTACACTAAACTCAATTCCCAAAAGTGTAAATTTGCTTTTACCCCACTGTAACTGGAGATTCGGTAAAAAGGTTTCTTCACTAAACTTTTTATTACCAATCCAAACTACTTGTGTTTTTTCTACATTAATTTTCAATCCAGAAATTTTGGCATACTCATTAAGTTCATCAATTGCTTCTTTCAGAGATTTTTCTGATCCATCCAAGATAAGTGAGGTATCATCTGCATATTGGGATACTGATATTGGACAATTATCAATTTCTATATCTTGAATGTTATCATTATTTCGTAATCTGAGGGCCAAAATTTCAACACAGAGTATAAATAAATATGGGCGATCGGGTCCCCTTGATGACAACCTCGTTTAATATTAAGAGAAGACGACAGATTACCGCCCTGATTAATGACTGAATAAGCATTTTTATGTAAAGTTTTAACCCAAGATGAAATACCTTTACCAAAACCAAAGAATTTTAAGACTTTATCAATAAAACCAAAAGACACTGAATCAAAAGCTTTATCAAAATCTAACGTCAATAACATTCCAGGAATATCATTTTCTTCAGTATATTGCATTATATCATATATAAGCCTTGTGTTTACACCTATATATCGCCCAGAAAGAAAACCAGTTTGATCCCTAACTATCAACTTGTCCAAAACAATTCTAATCCTATAAGCTATACCTGATGCAATTTTGTAAACAATATTTAACAATGATATAGGCCTCCAATTTCTAATAAAATGTCTGGGTTTATCTGCCTTTGGTATACAGGTAATAATTCCCTGCCTTTGAGTTATAGATAATTCCCCCCTATAATAACCATAATTAATTGATCTAGCAACAAAATGCCCTAATTTTCTCCAAAAACATTTGAAAAATTCTGTTGTAAACCCATCAACCTGGACTTTTTTTTATTCTTCATGTATTTTAATGTTTTACCAGCTTCCTCATAAGTAATTATAGTATAGTAAATTGTAAATCAAGGTCCAATATATTTTCAAGGTTATCTATTTTGTAGACTGGTAGACAATATTGTTTCTTAACATTATCTATACAATTGTTTATAATGTTTAAGTACTCTATATCTTGTAATAAAGAATTATTCATTTTCCATAAACCCCTCCCCTTCTTAAATTCATTTATTTTCATTGTAATTTTAGGGAACGAATGGTCTGATCGATAACCTGGGTCTACACTTGAAAGATTGACACTAGGAAGTAGATTTTCTGAAATAAGAAAAAAATCAAGACGAGCTTGTCTAATAGGATTACTTTTCCTCCATGTATATCTCCTAGTTTCTTCATGGTGTTCTCTGAAAATATCAACCAAATTAAAATGATCTATTATCTCTAAAAGTTTGTTTCTAGCCTGAGGGTTATTTAAGTTTTTATAGTTTTTATCATAATCAAACTCAGGTTTTAAGACTAGATTAAAATCACCACAAATAATAACCTTAGTATTATCAAAAATTTCAATAGCTTCAGATACCTTGTTGTAAAAATCTGGGTTATCTTGGTTTGGGCCATATATATTAATCAAAGTAAAGTGTAAATCTTCTATTTCAATGTCTAATGCTAAAAAATTACCAGTTGAATCTTTCTTTTCTGTATGTACTTTAGATTCGAAATTATTACTCAACAGGATAGTCACTTCTCTTGCATTTGATCTAAACAAGTTAAAAAAAAACAATCATATCCCCTACTCCCATAACATGAGAGGGCGCTGGTCGGCCTTTTTCCAATCGGATATGATTTTGCCGACTGTTACACGGCGCCTGTCAAAAGTTTTTCGACGTGTAAAACCTCTAACATTGTTGGAGTATCATATCCCCATTCATTTCTTATTAAGTCTTCCTTTTCAGGCGTAAAATGGGTATCTTGTAAACAATAAATATTATACTGTTTTTCTCTAAGGTACGTAAATACATCCCTGCGTTTAAATCTATCCGACAACCCTTGACAATTAGCCGAAATTAATGTCACACCGGTACCTGTATCTGCCACCACGAGGGTACGTTATCGAATTTAAAACATTCTACCATCCCAAAGAAGAGTAGTCGAGAGAGAAGAAAGGACATGTATTGACAAAGTACAGAAGAAACGAATAAAGAAGCAAACATTGAAAATAGGGGAAAGTATAAAATCATTATTGAAATGATCTAGGTCTTTGCTTACTACAAACCTACGTACTTTCTAGTAACAGTGTTTACATACAGCCGCTCCATAGACCGGAAATAGAATACTTATAATAAAACCGCAAACCGGAATTAAGTTCATGATAAGTCACAAAATAAGGCTACGCATAGATCCGGAACTAATACAAAGATAATAAAAATATGTAAAAATAAGAGGGAAAAAACTCAAATGTTTTGTTTCACCACGCATATTCCAAAAGTACGTTTATTTATGATGCGTTCCTATATATTTACATTATACTCGGAATATATGAGAGGTAAAAAGAATACTGTAATACTGTAAATGGTTAGGTTGAGTCCACTTACCGGGTTACCTGTATTCTGCTCACTGCCCATCATCCGGTGTATTAATCCGCACAGACACACACATACTAGCTATACTATAAGTAACACAGGTGCACGATCGGCGGCACAGTATGTGCCTTTAATGTCCGTTACCGACCGTAACCTATGTACATACACAAAAAACACTTATTTCAAACAAAATTACCATTGTCTTTTAAATAATCCTCTTTCAGTGGAGTGTCGTAATTAAGTCTGCGTTTAGTCCCATTCTGTTACACAGCGAACATCTTACCATCCACGCTATATGTATTCTTCACACAGTTCAACTGATAATTGAAGATTTGCTTTTGTCAAGTCCTCGAAAATTACATAACCAGTGTTTTTCAGATTCCTGCGCTTGTGGAGAATGTCATGTTTTATCCGTCTCCTGGTGAATTTCACAATAACGTTCCTGGGCTTATTTTTCTGGAATTTTCCCAACCGATGTGCGATGTTAATGTCATCTTTACTAAGCCGTTCATCTAGCTTGTCTTTCACGAATCCGACCACTTTTTTCACACACTCTTCTACAGACTCCCTCTCAGAGACGTCCTCTAGCCCGATAATCCGGATGGAGTCCTTTCGTCCGTGTTGTTCAAGGTAGTTCATCTTTCCGTCTAAGTTCCCCTGTAGCTCGCTACAACGATTTTCAAGTTTATCTACAGTTCTTCTTAAGTCCTCATTTTCACTCTCCATATCAAAAATCTTTCCTTCTAGGCGGTCAGTCAATTGCAACACCTTGACCTCTTCACTAAAGTCTCTCCTCAGGATACTTAGTTTACTATGCAAATATTCTCGCGTCAGCAGTGAGGAGAGCGTACTTGTAATCTCGTCAAGCCTCTCGTCTACAGTTTTCTTGACCTTTCCATCATGATCCGATTCACTTTGTCTTGTTGTCCTTGCATGTGACTTCACTTTTCCTGGACCAGACATGGTTAAGCTGAGAAATGTACACTATATTAACAGCCCTAACACACAGCGATACATGTATGTCCTATAGTGATACCAGTACGTGGTAAGTAGTAGTCACCGTGGGGGACTCAGTTCATTGTCAATTTCCAAAGTGGCCAAAAAAGTATTTATCGCTAAGTCCGTACCCACGTGACCACGTGACCCCCAATGGGACTAAATTTTGTATAAACGATTGGTGTGGCCCTCCCTGGGGCCGGGTGGGTCCAAATAGGGGAAATAGAAGTAAAACCTTTACAATCCTTCTTTTACCATAGGGATTAAGGGATTTCATCCCAATTTGGTCTGGAGCATCCTTGGGCCGAGGGGACTCAGTTTTGTATAATTTGTGAGTTTGGACCCTCTGGGGGCAGAGGGGCGGGGTCCAATAGGGGAAATCGAGGTAACATCTTTGACATTCTTCTCCTACCGTAGGGATAAGGGATTTGATCCTAATTTGGTCTTGAGCCGCCTTGGGCCAAGACGACTTAGTTTTGTATAAACGGTGGGTGTGGCCCCTTTGGGTGCAGAGGGGCGGGGCTCAAAAGAGGAATTTGAGGTTTAAATCTTTAAAATCCTTCTCCTTCTGTACCATTGGAGAGATTTTATCCAAATTTGGACTGGAGCATCCATGGGCAAAGGGGTCTAAATTTTGTGTAAATGGTGGGTATAGTCCCTCTGGGTGCATCTGACCTGGAGCATCCTTGGGTGAAGTTTTTTTTTATAACTGGAAGGTGTGGCCCCTTTGGGTGCAGAGGGGCGGGGCCCAATAGGAAAATTTGAGGTTGAAATCTTTAGAATCCTTCTTCTTCTGAACCATTGGATGTATTTTATGTAAATAAGAATATTTCCCCGTGGTTGTTTTATTATCCAGGTGAGCGATACAGGCCCTCTGGGCAAATGCATTACCTTCATACATAAACTTGAAATGACTCCTTCTAAATAATAAAAATGCATGCTCAGATGAAGAGCTTTCAAGTTTTCATGTGAATGACCTTGACACACTTTCAAGGACACATCTTGTCATTTGTTACTTAATCTTTAATAATCATCTTCTCAATTAACAAAAGGTATAGGGTGGTTGTATTTGTCAAGTTGCATTCTGGGATGAAGGGCTATAAAATAAAACGGACAAAGACTCCAAGGTTGGAGCGATTTAACTGTCCGTGTGCGGACTTAATGTCATTGTTTGACTTTCAAGGTCGCAGGGGTCAAATGTGCTTAAATCTTAAAAAGCTTCTTTTTAATAACTTTGAGTCAAGACACTGATATTTTGCCTATAGCTTCTTTACCACTTTTAAGGTTACAATTGTGAAATCAAAACCAGTTGAGCGGTGCAGGCCCATTGGACCTCTTGTAATTTAAAAAAAATGACAACAATATCTCCTATCCGTCAGGAATAACACATCACTAATGGCCATCCGTCTAGGAAAGTTTTGTTTTGGATAAATTAAATAGCCTTGTTTTTTTTACTGATCTACTTTTACTTTCACTTTCTACTAAACATCCATTTCCGGTTGAGAAATACGCAACTGCGGCTGAAGTTTGTGCCGTACGAAAGGCATCGTTAGGTTGAAGATTATACATTTTAGGCAAAGATGAACCCTTTAACGTGAGTATTCCTATCACAGCTTCGTCATATTGATAGATGATTTTCACAGTAGACCTACTAACGTTGGTATTAACGATCAGTCCGAACACTCGGATGGATAAATACCGAGGATCTATTGGGATAACCTTGCGAGCGTCCTAATGTGTATCAAACCACGCTGTATATATCATCTTCGCTAACCGGTCGAACCTAGGGCCTGCTCGTGTATGTGGAACAAACTGTTGTCTGTTTTTTAAATGTAGGGAGTTTAGTACGCATGCGATACTTAGCTTCGGTTGGTAGGGAGTGTAATTCCTGTAGGAACTCTATCTAAATCAGAGATTAATAACGATTATAAATCGCTGATTTAGATAGAGTTCCTACAGGAATTAGTAGGGAGTGATGCTTTAAATGCCTCTATTCCTTGCGCCTCGACTGTGTTATCGTTCAGGTGGTTCCATTCTGTGTCTGTTCACACCAAGAATGAGTTTCTGTATTGTTCTGTATTGCTGTCGGGTATTATTGTGACTGCTCTGTTATTGTTCATGATAGAATTTGGAATTGGTCTTGTCTCTCGATGTCTCGCAGTCCTGGAATTTACGCTGTCATGTTTTCCTTTTCTCGTGCTGGCGTATGACTGCTCTGTTATCGTTCCTGATTGAATTTGGAATTGGTCTTGATGTCTCACAGTCCTCGCAGTCCTCGAATTCATGCTGTCATGTTTTCCTTTTCTCATGCTGGAAATGAATGAAGTCTTTGCTAGGCATTGATAAGGCATTGATGGAATTTGCTCCTTCATGATTTTATATACCAGAATGTTAATCTCTGTTGTTTTCGTCTTTATGCTAACGTTACTGTAGTGCAGGCAAATTCACCATGCACCCAAATTCACCCTGTGACGAAAATGCCATATGCCGTCATAATACATAAGATGTGACGTAAATAACGTCGCCATAGTCTTCAACACAGTTAAAGCCTTCAAATATTTTGACAAGAAGAGGTATAAGAAGGGAAAAGCTATACTTTTAATCAAAACAGTTATGAAATATCTTGTAACAGAACAAATCTTAAAAAATTGGTCTGTGCGACGGACATCACGTCAACTAAACTCATTAATCTGAGGCCATGCAGTTGGTTGTTGTTTAGTGTAAATTTATTACATACATATGAAAATACCCATATCTTAACGCTATTTTTTTTTTTCTACCAGTGTACTTTGGTACATGTACAATGTACTGACGATCCACTGCAAGTTTATGGAAATGACGATTGGAAAGATTCGCGATTTGATAATTCGTCAGTTTTAATTTTCATGCAATGTGTATTTAGAATACAATCAACCAGTATCTTTTTAAAAGTATTGTCTGCGTCTTACGTTCAACAATCTTACAACGCTTAAATTAAAATATCATCTAGAAATTTTCTAGATTTATATCTGAAAGGAATTTGTTGTCGGCCTGCAAGTGCTGCTGTACAATCGCATGCTGGTTGTACGTTGAGACCTACAGTTACCATAGACTGAATTTTACATGAAAAAGTAAGTACATTTACAACACCTGTCCGGGCAATCTTTGTTGAATAAGTTTTCAAGCCCAAGAAAATCGTTTTAAATTGTCAGATATGTCCCGTTGACGTGCAAGACTATCGGAGACGTACATGTGACAAATTATCCAAAAAGTCGGGGGTGGGGGGTAATCAGTTTCTTCCAAGTTACCGAAAACTAACTATCACAACTAAGAAAAGCCATGTATTTCAATGTTAATCATTGTTACACACACACATTTGGAGCTGTTCGTATCAGTACAGCTTGTGTAACATAAACATACAAGATTTTACATTTAAACATTTAGATTACTTGTAAATTAGTTAAATGTTTGAAGGTGGCAAAACTGCCTGCAACTTTGAGCAAAACCACGGAAGGCCTGATGACGTCACAAATGTTGCTGCGTGATTACAACAATGTTTATTTATAGGCATTTCAGGTGAACTTCTTCTGTACTGGTACTCGTCGGCATTTTGATACATGCCTATTTGGTCGAATTATTAACAGAAACCCTTACTAATGTGACGAATTTGCCTTCACTGACGCTAGTGATGGAAGTTGTGGCTCTTTGAGTAGTTTTGTCATGAATCCCTTTTCCCTTGTTCTGTATAGTCGCTCTGGATGAAACACGCCCCTCTATGTTGAACACTTTCCAATTTATGTATGGGTCCCAGATTATGGCTCGATTCGTATTCCAGGATGGATCTGAAAAGGGCAATGTATGCTGTCTTTCTACATTCTCTGGGACAGTGTTGTAGTTTGTGCGTAGGAAGCCTAGGGTGGAACTGGCCTTTTTTCTAAGAACAGAACTATAGCATTACCCTCGGGGTGAGTGTCGCCATGAGTATCAGCGTGAAAATGTTGAAGTTTTACCTGCAAGTTATTTAGAAGCTTGTCATTCATTAAACATGTGCACTAGGATGGTGATATTTGGCATGGAGGTTCCTGTGCCCCCGGTATAATATTGATGTAGTGAAGTGAAAATTTATGAATAATTTCAAATTTTGATTTTTTGTACTTAACTTTTTTTAAACACATCAATGTTAAAGTTTTACCTGCAAGTTATTTAGACGCTTGAGGATGCTCATATTTGGCATTGAGGTTCCTGTGGGATATACTATTGATGTAGTGTTCAAAGTTAAAATTAATAAATAATTTCAAATTTTTGAAATTTTCGACCTGTTTTGTACTTTACTTTTTTTAAGGTCATCAATGTTTAAAGTTTTAACTGCAAGTTATTTGGAAGCTTGTCATTCATTAAATATGTGTACTAAGATGCTGATATTTTTGCAGAGAGGTTCCTGTGCGGTAAAATATTGATGAAGTGAAGTTAAAATTAAAAAATAATTTCACATCAAATAAGCTGGTATGTTTTTTGCTCTTTCTTCTTATTAATTAATACAAAGAATGTAACATTTTTTGGCATTAAATTTCATCCCCCAGTTTGTAGTCCAAGTTTTGAGTTGTTTAAGGTCGTCTTGAAGTGCTTCATGGTCTGTGTTCGAGGTTGTTTCTCTCTGCGAAAAGCCTGACCGTTGATTTCGCAGAGTCTGGCAAGTCATTTATGTGGCAAAGGAAAAGTAGGGGTCCTTGTACTGTTTCTTGTGGGACTCCGACTTAACAGTGGCCTCTTCAGAGAGTTCTCCTTCTATGGGCTACTCGCATCTTCCTGCCAGTTACGAAGGTTTTTAGCCATTGATGCAGAGGTCCTCTGATCCCATATGACTCCAGCTTGTGGAGTAGTCTGTCATGGGGAATGGTGTCCAAGGCCTTGGGGAAGTCAAGTATTGCCATGTCCACTTGTTTGCCACGGTCAAAAGATCTCAGTAGGTCGTCAATGGTGGTAATGAGTTGTGTTTCACATGAGTATCCTGATTGGAAGCCATGGTTGTCCAGATGGTCCAATATATATGTTTGTATATACATGATGTGTTCTAGGATTTTGCACTGATGTTGGTAATACCGGACGATAATTTGCTGCTGGGTGTTTGTCTCCCTTTTGTAAGATGCAGGAAATGTTTGTCAGTGACTGGTGTTATCTATAAATGTTTGCACTTAGCCAGTCTACTGGTAGCTCACCGGTTGTTAGTGTGGTCTTGTGTCAGAATGGGTGCTATGTGGTCTGCACACTCTTTTAGAACACGATTTGGAATGTTATTTGGACCTAAACTAAGGTGTTCAATGTAATTTTACATGTTTAGGGGTTTAGATCAATTTTCGGTAAAAATGACAACCCCAATGATCATGTATATGAGAAGGAAAGCTCTCGATGTTGAAAAGTCGACCTCACTTAACTTTCTTACATCAAAAACATCATTTCTTGTTGATGTATGAAAAAATGCTTAACACCGTTGGAAAGATGGATAATTTTTCTTTTAAAAACCTCTTATAATAATATGCCTTAAAATGTGTTCTCCTGAGGAATGATCTCCGTTTTCTCAAACAACAAACGCCATTTCAGAGTTTCCAATTTTTTGCAGTCATCGTGCCACTTTTTGTATATTCATGAAGTTGACGTCAGCCTAGTGGCGAAATATGCAGTGTTGATTGGCTGGTTATTTTAGTGAAAAATGGCTGTGTTTCCAGCCAATCACACCGAGGGTCTAGGCTTGTGGCTGAGATCAACCTCATTAATGTACAAAAAGTGGCTCGATGACTGAAAAACTTTTAATTGAAAGTTATCCGGTATATACCTGTTAGCTGTGGTGGTGTGTATGTACATGTTAGCTGTGGTCGAGGTCTTGCTTTATAGGCCTGTATATTCCATCGCGATTCTTTTTCATGAACGCAACAGATTGGCATGGCTTTGTGAAAAGTTTTTTGCTCATCTGGTGTGAAGGTGAGTTATCTACTGTTTCTTTTCTTTTAAAATGCTACTAGCCCAGAAAGACAGAAGGGATTATCACCAAACTTGGTCTGGAGCATTATTGGTCAAAGGGGATTCAAATAATCATGTAAAAATAGAGTGTGTCTCCACTTCCCCCACAAAGAATGTAAAGAGTACTAAATTCAGGTCATTGACTGTAACCTTTACCTCCAGATTAAAGGTTAAATACTCCAGGTTAAAGGTCAAACACCGCCAGGTTAAAGGTTAAATACCTCCAGGTTAAAGGTCAAACACCACCAGGTTAAAAGTTAAATACCTCCAGGTTGAAGGTTAATACCTCCAGGTTGAAGGTTAATACCTCCAGGTTAAAGGTTAAGTACCTTCAGGTTAAAGGTTAAATACCTCCAGGTTAAAGGTCAAACACCGCCAGGTTAAAGGTTTAACACATCCAGTTAACAGGTTTAATACCTCCAGGTTAAAGGATAAGTACCTTCAGGTAACTGGTTTAATACCTCCAGGTTAAAGGTTAAATACCTCCAAGTTAAAGGTTAAATACCTCCAGGTTAAAGGTTTAACACATCCAGGTAACAGGTTAAATACCTCCAGGTTGACGGTTAAGTACCTCCAGGTTAAAGGTTAAATACCTCCAGGTTAAATGTCAAACACGGCCAGGTTAAAGGTTTAACACATCCAGGTAACAGGTTAAATACCTCCAGGTTGAAGGTAAAGTACCTTCAGGTAACTGGTTAAATACCTCCAGGTTAAAGGTCAAACACCGTCAGGTAACAGGATCAATAAGTGCAAAACAAATGCACATATGGCTAATAGGGGAACATGATTTTATTCACTTTTTTTTTTTTATTAAAATTTATTGACAGAAATGTAAGGAATACTCAGGAGCTGAACAAGAAGGAGTTGGAGCTTGGACTGATTGGAAAGAAGTCGTGGCATGACAAGTATAAGGACAGTGCCTGGGTATTCCTAGGAGGACTCCCCTACGAACTCACTGAGGGCGACGTCATATGTGTGTTTTCACAGTAAGTATGAACTCACTGAGGGTGACGTCATATGTGTGTTCTCACAGTAAGTATGAACTCACTGAGGGCGACGTCATATGTGTGTTCTCACAGTAAGTATGACCTCACTGAGGGCAACATCATATGTGTGTTCTCACAGTAAGTATGACCTCAATGAGGGCGACGTCATATGTGTGTTCTCACAGTAAGTATGACCTCACTGAGGGCAATGTCATTATTGTGTTCTCATCGTACATGTAAGTACGTGATGAGGGTGACATCATATGTGTGCTCTCACAGTAAGTATGACCTCACTGAGGGAAATGTCATATGTGTGTTCTCAGAGTAAGCATGATCTTACTGAAGGAAATGTCAGATGTGTGTTCTCACCGTACATGTAAGTACCTGCTGAGGGCGACATCATATGTGTGTTCTCACAGTAAGTATGACCTCATTGAGGGCGAAAACAGCTGCATTCTCACAGTAAATATGATCTCAAGGAGGGTGTTGTGATATACACATGTTCTCACAGTAAATATGATCTCAAGGAGGGGGTTGTGATATACACATGTTCTCACAGTAAATATGATCTCAAGGAGGGTGGTGTGATATACACATGTTCTCACAGTAAATATGATCTCAAGGAGGGTGTTGTGATATACACATATGTTCTCACAGTAAGTATGATCTCAAAGAAGCCTCATCTGTGTAATTCACAGTAAGTATGATATAAGGTATGGCAGCATTATTTAGGGAAAAAATAACCTCATTGAGGTCAACATCTGAAGTGTCCCACATTAGCGTATGCCTTGTAGAAGGTGACACAGATGTTGACTAAGTGTTAAGTAAAATCACAGTGGGTGACATTTGCATTATCACAGTAAGTATGACCTCATTAAATGACATTATTCATGATATATTGATATGTGTCAGTTTCATTTATCTTATCTGTGCTTTCTAAGTGTTAAAAGAAGTTTTTAGGTCACCTGAGCTACCGTAAATTTGCGGGTATAGTGATCGCTTTCCGTCCGTTGTCATCCGTCGTAAACTTTTTACATTTTCGACTTCTTCTCAAGAACCAGTGGATGGAATTTTTTCAAACTTGATGAGAATCATCCTTGGTAGATGAGGCTACAAAATTGTAAAATTGGGATTCCTACCCAAACCCCTGGGGCCAGGGTGGGGCCCCAAAGGGAAAATAAACCAATATTTCAAAAATCTTCTTCTCCAGACTCTGAGGTACTACAGTCAATTTCCTTGCATGGATGGAAAGATCATCAGAATCTTTATTTAAATTGTAAATTTCAGTACCCCCAGGCCATCTGTTCTTCCCTAGGGAGGGGGTAAAGTTTACTTTAGTTTATATAGGGAAATAACACTTTTGGGTATATTTTGACAATTTTCGGTAGGAAATTATTCTTGCTTAGTGAGAATCATCCATGCAAGAAGATGGTATCAAATCGTAAAATTGGGATTCCTACCCCAACCTCAGGGGCCAGGGGCGGGGCCCCAAAGGGAAAATTAACCAATATTTCAAAAATCTTCTCCACACTCAAAGGTACTACAGTCAATTTTTTTTGCATGGCTGAAAAGATCATCAGGGGCTTTGTTAAAATTGTAAATTTCAGTACCCCCCGCTATCCGTTCCCCCTTTGGGAGGGGGTTTAAGTTTACTATAGTTTATATAGGGAAATAACACTTTTGGTAAATTTTATCCATTTTCAGCAGGAAACTATTCAAACTTGGTCAGAATTATCTTTGGTGGACGAGTGGATTACACGGGAAAATTTACCAATATTTTAGAATTCTTTTCCTTTGATTTCACTTAGTTTACATGTTGATTTCCACATCACATCTCCACAATGAAATTGAGCTACCAGTACCTATAAAATAACTCAGGTGACCGCTAAGGCCCTTGGGCCTCTTGTTCAGTAATCTGTTGGACTGAAAAAGGACCTCAAGAAGTCAATACAATGATTCTATTTCATTGGATACCGTTCTAAAAATAACAATGCCAATTCACCAAAGCAATTGTAAGAAATTATCAATGAATTGATGAACTGTTGCTTTCATTAATTTTTTCTTCCCTGTGTTTCTAGGTACGGTGAGGTAGTGAATGTCAATCTGGTCCGTGACAAAGCGACTGGCAAGTTTAAAGGCTTCGGTTTCTTGTGCTACCAAGACCAGCGCAGTACAGTGTTGGCAGTCGACAATCTAAACGGTTTCAGTGTAAGTTATATACTTCCGCCAAAACCGGTACAAATTGTACTCCCAGATCTAAAATTGCTGACCAAGGATGCTTTGGAGAAATTGCATGTTCCCTTGAGCCACATAAATACTGCTACCATTAGTCTGATTAGTAAAAGTCCGTATTATACTGCCACTGTATGTCCAGCCAGAGCTCTGTCAAAGAACACAAACATCGATATGCATTTGCATTAAGATCTTACGTAATTAAATTTATAAACAAATACCACTTTTAATTAATAAATGCTATGTTAAAATGTTTCAAATCTTTAAACGACATCCTCTGAATAACGATGAGGCCCTGAATGATAATATTTAACCATAAGCATGCTTTGATGAAGGGCTACCAAGTTTGTTAAAATGAATGACCTTCACTTGTATTCAAGATCAAATATGTTTAAAATGTTTAAACGACTTCTTCTGGATAATCAAAAGGCCCAGGATGAAGATATTCGGCCATTAGCATGCTTGGATGAACGGCTACCAAGTTTGTTCAAATGAATGACCTTGACTTACAAAGTCACAGGGTCAAACTACTTCTTCTGATTATTCATGAGGCCCAGAATGTTGATATTTGGATGAAGGGCTATCACATCATTTGAATGACCTTTACCCACTGTCAAGGTCACATTTGGTTAGAAATGTCATTATGACATGATGATGATGATGATGATGATGATGATGATGATGAAGGCGACGATGAAGTCATTCATTTTATGATGATAAATAAGCTGATGATGTTGAGTGAAGTGAGTGTTATGCTAAACCATGAGTAAGTCTCCAGTTGTGTGTGTGAGTGCGTGTATATGTATGTATGTCATGTTAAATGTCTTGTTGTGGTTTTTTTTTTTAATTTTTTTTTTTTATGTATATACAACAATTAGTAAATAACGGTAAGTTAAGTATCTAGTTTTGTCCGTGACTGTTGTATTATCTGTAAGGTGTATCTAGTGTTATCTATAAGGTGTATCTAGTGTTATCTATAAGGTGTA